AAATTGAATCTAAAGCTTTCAAAAGCTGCTAAACTGTGTTTTGAAGCACTCTCAGCAGCTAAGTCGACATTTACAGGTAAGAGCTTAAAGCACTTAACTGTAATGTAAAAGATGCAAATGGCTAAAGTGGCAATTGATTGGTGAAGTAGATGCAGTTTGAAGTGTAATAAATCTTAGTCGGTGTGTCAGTTGAGTTTAATTTACATTAAACAACTTAGAAGTGAAAGCATAGAAGCAGAAGATGTATCTATGACTTGCTAATGTGGATGTGTAAGCTCGAAAAGTTGCTGAATCGTAATTAGACGTGTAAGAAAAGGAAGCAACTGAACTGTCAGCGATTACATTTACCAGGCCGGCTGAAGTGAGAGTCTTTGGGCACAAACGGAGCAACAGAAGCGATAATGAAGTAATTTCATCGACAACAGCAGCACACGTCTTGTGTTACTAAAATCCTAAAGATTCTCCGGAGCAGCTGAGTGCGATGTTTGATATATTTCATTGCTGTACGTGTCAGTGGAACAGTCGGTGGTGACAGTTAGTATTAGAACAGAGAGAGCAGGAGACAAACCTTTTTGTCTTCTGCTATTTGTTGTATGAGTCAGACATTTTTATCCGGCTCTCTTGTCTCAACCTTTCATTCATTCCTCCCCCACACCTCTCCCACCCCTGGCTGTCTGCTCCTCCACACGAAGCTGCCGGATAAACCGAATCCTGGAGTCTCCACGGGGTAATGTGCTGCTGGTCGGAGTGGGCGGCAGCGGCAAGCAGAGTCTGACCCGGCTGGCTGCTTTCATCTCCAATCTGGAGGTCTTCCAGATCACCTTGAGGAAAGGCTACAGTATCGCTGACCTAAAGGTTTGAAGAGGAGTACTTGACAAACATATCATCCTGTAAAAGCATGTTTCATTTAAAATCTAACAACGTTTATTATGTGCATACACTTTTGCCAAACATAATCCTCACAGTATATAAACGTAAAGCATGTATCGCTGCAAAATAACAAATCTTATTATGGTGCCACTTTTCCCACTCCAACCCTCCCACTCTCCCTGTCATCCAGAGTGACCTGGCGTCCCTCTACATGAAAGCTGGCGTGAAGAATATTGGCACTGTGTTCCTAATGACTGATGCCCAAGTGGCAGATGAGAAGTTCCTCGTTCTGGTCAACGATCTGCTGGCGTCGGGTAACAGCAGGTTTTGCTAATTACTGCATGTCATGTTTAGCAAGAGAGAAATGCTTTCATTGCACAACAGCAACACATCACCGCGGTGCCATTTTTGGCACCATTACTCATGTGCTACCAACACATTATTGTGAAAAATTGCAGAGGAGGCTCAGACTCACAGCTACGTTTAAACGGGGCATTTTAATAATCTGATGAATGGAAATGACTGTTAATAGAAAATTACTGCAAAGCAATCTGCGCTAATGTTGGCTTGCAATAGTTTTGCGAGTGTACCGTATCACTTTAAGTAGGAAGATATTTAGGATATGAGGCATGTGCCAACAGATGTCGATGCATTATTTAGTGAAACACTGCTGCCTGCCTGAAAAGAAAAGAACAAAAAGAACAACTGCACAGTTACCCGGGGTGCTGTCATATGTGCGTTACTGACACAATATTTCAAAATATATTTATTTACTGTCAATAATATAAACGTGTCACGGTCTGCGGCGGGCGGACCG